TAGCGGGAGTCGCTGAGGGCGTTGATATGAGGTCGAAACTACAGTCCACTGGGGCCTGGGTGGGAACTACTTTTGAGAAAGCAAGGCCATGTGAAATTCAATGTAAACGTCAGCTTATTGTGGGAAAACTCTTCTTCTACCAGTCCTTCATCACCTTAAACGAAATTGGGTGAATACAGCTCATATAACAGAAGCTTATTCTTTCTATCGGCGATAAAATTTTGTACTGTATTTCTTGAATAAACATTAAAGTCATTTAGGTCAGTTAAGATGCTAATGATGATAGTTAAATTACCTGCAATTAAATGACTCTAAGGCCCACTATGCTAGTAACATTTGTATAGCTTTTTGGGTGGTAATTATATGTGAAAGCGTATTGTGAAAAATTGAACTAATACTCACCACATCGCATTAAGCGAACTGAGCTGAATCAGGCTTTAAATAAGGATCTACGAGTAGTTTCAATAAAAATGCATTAGGTCTGTTAGTCAAGTTATTTTTTTTCCAGTTTACCATTGCCGTGCCATTGACCTTATATTAAAGCCATCTTTTAATTAAGGCATAGGTTCATAGGCTTTTTCGCATAAATCCCAAAATTCCAAACTCCAAGATAATCCTCCTTAAGTTACGAATTATTTTCATTCAACCTTTCCTTGGAATTGAAGCCTTCAGAAACATAAAGTTGCCAAAAGATTCTTCTAAATCCAAATTTGTTTCTTGTGCACCAAAACTTAGGACCTTTTTTCAGCTCCTCTCTCCTGAACAGCAACTCAGCTCCACCACAGCCTTGTGTTGACAGTGTATGTAATTGTAGTCATTGGTGCCACATGGTTACGAGGTGTGGCGGCTGCGAACTGCTGCCCCAATTATGTATTGTGGCTCTCAGCCAGCCGCCCAGTTACCCGAGGATTGGCGCTCATCCTTGGCTTAAATTGACAATCCTTTTTTTGCTCTTGCTCTCGTGGAGATGTGCATTGATGTGTATCATTCTGCCCGTCTGGAAGGTGGGTGTCTTTGCCCCTCCAACAGGTCGTCTCATCCCAATTCACAAACCCATCCAACCATCAGGTCAGTGAATAAGGTGAGCGGACAAAGGGCCCTAGGCCACGTAGTGGATGATGGACACTTTGAAGTATAGCTGGGCGTGAACAAGGAAAAGGGGGGTCAGTAGACAGACCGGTCTGAGTCCAGCACTTATTGTTAAATCAAGTAAAATGTGTTTAGAGGGTGATTTGTCCTTCATCCTGACTACTATTATCACATGAACAACGCTGTTGGAAGTAGTGGTAGAAAGAGTAGGTTTTTTGGCTAATAAGGCTGGAATAAGTCGTCCGGTAGCATTTCTTTAAGGTCGATGTTTACCTTAGTTTATTTTCTCATTTAGTCCACTTTCACGTTGCAAAAGTCATTATTGCAAGCCCGATATTGCCCAAATGATGTTTTTTTTCGTGTGATTGCCAATAAAGGCTTCATCTGCCCCAGTCTGGCTCATTAAGGGCCTCATAGCCACAACGACAGCATTCTGTGACCTCAATCTGAAATTAGGCCTAGAGACGTGTTCGAGTCATCCCGTCGGTTGCAGGATTTGTTAAGCCCATCCGACCAGCACTTAAAGACATATTCTGACTGATTTTCTATCCTTATCTCTATCCAAAACAGGATGTAACTGTGCCCTAAGTCGTATACTCTTCATTTTTATGAAGCCGGCTTGTTCCAAAGTGTCCAATTTACAGGAAGCTAAATTTGTAACCCTAGAAAAGCCAATATATTTATATTAAGCATACTCAGTTTGTTTGACCTGACCCTGACCGCCTGCTCCCGTCCCCTCGGACATATCCCTTTCTTTCTCTCCATTCCGGGCGGCTTGTCTGCTATCATGTTCTTTTGGATGTAGGCATGTCCGTTTGATATCTACCCCAAAGCGACTATATGCTTGACAATAAGCTACTCTTAAATTGACGACGCCAGCCGGCAATAGCATGGATTTATGTGGGGCAAGCTTTTTTCTGCCAAAATTTAATATTCGCAGCTTTGATCTGATCAGATGCCATCTTCGCTGTTTCATGTCCTTCGAAGCAAAGCATTATAAAAGGAATGCGACTGAATATTTTCCATTTTTCGGCCAAGTAAGCTTGAAATTCACAAGCGAAAAGAAGTATAGACTAAGTAAGAGAAAAAATTAGATATAATTATCACTCAACATAATATTATTTTTAATCAGTTTATGAAATATTCCAAGCACAGAGGAGTATAATGGAAGATTCATCTGCAGACAGAAATTGATAAATGTTTTTAATTATCAGTGCCCACGGAAGGTTGTTCTAAACAAGCCTGAAGTTCTTCAACCTCAACCAACATCAACTTATGGTTAAACTGGCTTTTGCTTCGTATAAAAGTATGCGATGGAGAGATTTGTACCTCGAGTTCCCCAGAAAACTGTGGCGCATTCCTTCAATTTCCTATCTTGAGTTTATGTGAAAAGTTGCTGAATTTATGCCTGAGATTTCACTTTACAAAAAAAACCAAAACTGAAACCCATTCTTAAAACGAATTCAAGCTTGCAACGAATCAAAAGAAATTCACAATTAGTGAGCATGATTGTCAGTCAACTTTGAAGTCTGCATGCATTTATATACGTGTGTGTTTGTGTTCGTATGTGTGCATGTGCGTGTGCGTAATAAGCGCATATGATAATTCCAAGTAAATATAAGAGTGGGCATCACATGTTAAAATCCATTCTTATTTCTTTAGAACTATAACTGGGCTTTCATACAAGCGAACACACATTCACGCATTTATATAATATACACACACACAAATCTTGCATCACCTCTAAAAATTCCTTTTTGCGAGAACCAATAAGCGATGGGGCTGTGCCGAGTAGTTTTCTTGCTTCAGTGCAAGCGTGG